CAGCTATAGCCAAAAAGAAAGTAGGTCACACAATAGCTGGCTAACTTGATTGCCTAGAATCTCTAGCAGTGTGTTCTTCTCTCTCGCCTGGCACAACCTGTAAGTAGGGGGGACCCACACACTTGGGCAAGCAGACACTCCAGTTTGGGGTGGAGCACTAACCCCTTGCTTTAGCATTTAAACAAGTGCCTGGTTTTCCTCCTTCTGAATTCAAACGGATGATCCAGGGACGCATTATCACCCCAAATACAGATTCAAACTTTCCCTCCCACCCTGGAACAGCCTCTCTCGGCTGGCTGGATCGCCCTTGGGACTGGATATCTTTCTACTGACACTATTACACCATTTCGCTCCACCCTCCACCCCTCCGTGAATCAAAATACAGATGCTTGGCTCCCCGGCAACCCTGCTTTCCGCAGCAATTGACTGGTAGCCTCTCTACATCTCAGCTGGGAGGTGTGATTGGGCTACATGCATCAACAGTGATTTCCTTCCTAACCATCAACCTAATGTATCGGGACTCTTTGTTGCTTTTTACATCAACCTGATGGCATTCATGTTCAGGACTGTTTTTGAAACTCAGCTTCATGGGGCTACGTTTGACTCTGTGACCTCCTTCTATGAGCCCACCGCTACAAAGTATGTGGTGGGAACACCTTTCACTGCCAGAAACCGACCAGTCACGCTCCACTAACACAGCTCTACGCAGACCCTAATAATCAGTGGCCAATAAGAGATCTCAACACTGTGTGGACCAGTGTGTAAATCCTTTCATTATCAAGAACTTGTGTAACAAATTAAACACGCAGTCTAGACTTCTTCTATCTGCTTCATTCAGATTCTGAGACCGTATCCATCACCGCAGTATCCAAATGCCTCCAGCTCTTACAAATGTGACAATGTTCCTCCTCTGTCTTGATGGGTCCTGCGCTTTCCTACGCTAACCTCAGTGGTTCACGGCAGCCCGCAGTTTGGCCGCTTTTGCTAGAGGCTCAAACCTGCCGTTCACTCAGCTAACCTCATCACTGGCCAGCATGGGGAAACAGAGGACAATCTCCACAGTCTCTGTTGTCCCACCTAGTGGGTTGGGGACCGGCCAGATCCCTTTCCAAATGAGACCTTCCCTTCTGGTGTGTCTCACAGACCAGGTCAACTCCTCCTGTGTCAGATAGGGAGTTGGGGGGATGGGGAGAACCCGGGCCCACCCTCTACACCAGGTTCCAGCCCAGGGCCCTGTGGATAGCAGCTGTCTACAACATCTCCTGTATCAGCTGCGTGACAGCTACAATTCCCTGGGCTACTTCCCCATGGCCTCCCCCCAGCACCTTCTTTATCCTCACCGCAGGACCTTCTTCCTGAAGCCTGATAATGCTTGTACTCCTCAGTCCTCCAGCAGCATGCCTTCTCACTCCCTGCTCCTTGTGTGCCCCCCACTAACTGATGGGAAGTCCTTTTTAATCCAGGTGTCCTGATTAGCCTGCCTGCCATAATTTATTCTAGTAAACTCTTAATTGGCTCCAGGTGTCTTAATTAGCTGCCTGTCTTAATTGGTTCTAGCTGGTTCCTGATTGCTCTATGGCAGCCCCTGCTCTGGTCACTCAGGGAACAGAAAACTATTCATCCAGTGGCCAGTATATTTGCCTTCTACCAGACTCCTGCACCCAACTGGTCTGGGTCTGTCACACACATTTATTTTGCTCTTCACTGAGTTACCTTCGGTTTGTCAACCTCTCCCTGGTACTGAGCCCCTAAGGGAGTTAAATGCACACCCGAGAAAGGCAGCCCTGGGAAGTGGGGGGAGAGGCTGAATCTCCTGGTAGCTGCCTGAAGGAGGATCTGGGAGATCCCTATTCAGAGCAGCTGCAGCGGAAGAGGGGCGCTGAATAAACACAACCCAAACCCTTGTCCTGTGTGTTACTAGAGCGCCAATTGCAAGTCTGATTTGATTCATATGTATGCGCACGTAGAATCCCACACATGTTCTGTTCCCTCCTCTAGAGGCTGCACTACTGCACTCCCCAGCAGCTGACGAGTGATCTCAGTTCACAGCGCTAGGCTGGCAGCCTGCCAGGCCTTCTATTTTTAAAAAAAAGGTTGATTGTTTATTTACATTTTTTACCATTAAAATGTGTCCTCACGTTATTCTACATGGGATCCCCCAAAAGAGAAGCACATCCCAGCCATCCCGTGGCTATTAACAGAGCTACATGTGGAAGAAGTGTGTTATTTACTCATCTGGAGTCGGACTTGACCTCCGTTTGATCCACACCTGTTTTGAACAAGCACGTGCCATTACGAAGGTTCATAGCAAAACCAAAGCCAGGTTTGGGGCAGGAATGAATATTCGCGTATTGGGGCATGAACTGCAGAACACAGACAAAGTGAAACCACAAATTAAGAACTGAAGCCAAGCCGTCATGCTCAGCTGCTTCCAGTTCATTGTTACCATTTGCTCTCAAGGGCACATTTAAACTCACATTGTTCTTCACATTCTTTTCAGCACCAGCCACTGGACAGTTCAGTGACCCCAGCAACCCCAAGCAAGCTGGACAGGCAGTATTGTCACTCAGTGCTGTTTGAATCATGGGGTCATGGCACTTCCAACAGATGACACTGTTCCAGGGACAGTCCAGCTCTGCCTGCCCCTCCTGCTGCAAAAATCCAAGCACTGCATTTATACCTTCCACTGTGCACCCAGCAAGTACACTGAAAGAGTGATCCCTAGGATTGGAACGGCCTTCCTGAGCCGTCAGGCCATGACAGCACTCTGTCTTCTCTCCAGTCCCTTCTCAGATCATCAGTATAAGGTTTCAGTTATCCAGCTAACCATCAGACTGTGAAACAAAGACAACAAACCAATCCACCCTGCCCCCAAACCAATCCAACCCAATGTGCTCAAAACCCCACCCAACAAGCTACATCTTCCCCAACATTGGTGAGAAAAAGCTTACTCCCCTAAGTGACTGCATGATCCTGTGGTCCTCATCTTGGTCTTCCCACTCCCTGGTGTTGTCGTCTTAACCTAAAGCCTAAGCAATTCGGGTGGGGATTTTGGCCAAGTTTCTCCAAAGTGACTAGTTATGTTGAGTGCACAACTGGAGAGGACTTAAAGAGGGTCAAGAGTTTTCAGGAAGTGCTTACGCGCCTGCCCCCTGAAACCCAGGTCCCTTTAGGTCGTCTCAAGGTAGGCATGCACATTTTTTAAACTCTTGGCCTCTCTCTTTATACAGTTCCACACAGCATCATACATATCTAGGTGTTTATGAGTTATAAAGAATTACCTCGCCAAAGTAATTGCTTTACCTCTGAGTAGCGCCCAGGGCATGTAATCTTTAAAAGTCAGGCACCTGGAGTTCTGCAGCTCACAGTGAATTCAAAGGCCTCACAATTCAAAACAATTAGCAGCTAGTCACTTTCCTTTTATGCACAATCATCCATTAAACCCAACACCTAGAATGAATATGCTTGATTATCTACAAAAGGGCCCAATTTTCTAATGTCAATGCAAAGCACCCAGCCAGATTCATTTCTCCTTCGACCCCAATTGCAGGCAGTGGCCGTGTTTAATGAATTAGCAGTCCAGGAGAGTTACACACTGTCAGCAATTCCAACACGCCCTTTTATTAAAGTTTGCTGCCGCGTTAAAATTCTACAATCTCCCTTCCATTCGCCTTGCCCCGTTTAAAGTGTTCAACACAGATCACATGGTCCTTTAAATCCCCCCTTCGCCCTTAGGCTCTCTAAGTCTGTTTTGCATAATCACACTCACGGTTAGCACTGGATTCCCCAAGTGCAAGGGATTGGGAACTTGGCACAGCTAAAGCCACAGGCCCTGCCCTGCACCGCGGTTCTTCAGAAAGCAAATAAAGAGCAAACTCTTTGCACTAATGCAAGGTTTTTCTCAACGTTTCCAGGCTGAAGACCCCTTATTCAAAGTCAAAAATGTCCGCAATACCCTCACATTTACCGCAGAAGAGTAAAAACACACAAGAATTACGACAACAATAAGCCGAGATAATATTCTGTATGTGTTTTGAGAGGCTGAAAGAGAGTCCTTGACCTTGAAGGGTAAGGGTGTGGGCAAAGAGGGGAGGTTTTCTTTGCTTGATTGTGTTTAAATGTTAAAGGTCTCACATTCCCCACCAGGGGTCGCAACCAAACACTGCCCTACCGGAGCAGCACTGAGCTCACAGGGAACCCCGCACACCAGACAGGTGCAGAATGCTGGCGATAACCTCTCAGATAACCCCGGTGATACCAAAGTGCTCTGCAGATGGCATGGGCCAACATTTTCAAACATGAGACCAATGGGAGCTGCAGGCGCTAGGCCCCTCTGGGAAGCAGGCCACTTCCATATAAGTGCCTAAATATGGGATTTGGATGTCTGGGGCACCCAAGTTTGAACATGTCAGACTCAATACTGTGCTTACAAGCTACGCAGAAAGGCGACCATCATTGGGGGGTAGGGGGGCAGCCAAGATAGCACACACACCCCCCAGCACATCCAGCCATGGGAGGGGAGTTTCTAAGGGATCATCCTACAGGTCAGCATACAGTAATTCAAGAACCCAATTTACCCCAGGAGGATGTTACGCTGAGTGGTTCCTGTTGGTTGATCGCGTCAGGTTCCAGGGCATCATTGTCGGTATTTCAAATCCCAAGCTTATCCCCATTAAACCCTCACCCCTTCCAGCAATAGAACATGCCACATAGAGCCACACTACATAATTAACACCCTTGGCTCTGGCTGTCAACATCCACCAACCGTCATCTCTCGCAATTTCCACAAGAAATCACATGGCAGGTAAGCCACTTGCGTGTGCTGCTGGCTGAAATCCAGATCCCCCCCCACTGGCCTGGCCCCGGTCAATTGTTACAAGCAGTCATTTCCTGATGATAATACAGGCGAAACTAGTGGAGTAGGGAGTGCATATGCACAGCACAACTGCCAGGTTAATACCTCAGTCAGTTCAGCAAGCGCTGGTCGGTAAGTGACTTACCCTGTTCTCATCATAGATTATCTGCACTAAGCTGCGATGCTTGGACTCAATAGGCGGGGGTGACATCGGTTTCTCAGGCTCCGGTGGTTTGGCTGCTTCCTCCTCCAACTGTTGCTGTGAAAGGTTGAAAAGAGGGGGGGGGGGAAAAAGAGTGAGTGGTTCAAAAAAGGAAACACTCTGGCCATGTGAGACACTCTCTCTCCAGCACTGTGACAGATATAGAAAATGTAACCATGAACCATTTCCCGTGAGACATCAGCAAGACAAAGCAGCTAACAGAGGGGAGGGGAGAATAACCCTTTAACATTTCCTGTTGCCTCAGCCAGGGTGTTTTCTGGCCACAAACTGGGTAAAGTGTCCCTCTTAGATCTGGCCTGTGGATCTCGACGACAGATGCGATGCATAAAAAATAGCTGAATGAAAATTCCATGGAGGAAAAACATTTCTCAGAGCAGCAAAGTTCCTTGTTTATGTCTTAATTTGGAGCTGCACTGTTTGCCACTCTCGTGTTTAAAGGGGGGGGCGGGGAGTTGAGGGGTTATTGCACTCTTTTGGTTTAATATCCCACTACGGAGTTCCTAGTTCTTCATGTGAACGAGATGCCTTCTGTGGCTACATCTTATTATTCTTTTTCTATTTACAACAGTGCCTCAGAACCTCAGTCAAGCATGAGGGCTCCCTTGTGCTAGGCACCGGACAGCCAAGTCTCAAAGACAAAGCGTCAAAGAGAGCTCACAGGACACTGCAGGCAGATGAAACGGACAAACAGGGTGGGGAGGACAAGGTAACACCGGGATGAACCGAGTTCAGCAGAAAGGCAGAAGTCGCAGCTCTCCTGCTCGGTGCCAAACGGGAGTGAGCCGCAGGCACCCCAGCAGAGGCAGGATGTAAGGGGGGGGTTCAGCCAATCAGGAGATGGGAGCTGTAGGGATCTCAATGGGGAGTACGTCCCATGAATGAAGGGCAACATCATTAGACAGGGCACCGATGCAGGCGGGAAGCAGGCAGGTAGGCCAGAGACAAATCTCACTACTGTATGTTTTCACCCCTCAGCCAAAAGTTACTAAGGAGCCCAGAGGCAGGGTGTCAATCATCATTAGAGGGCTGCTTTTCATGGTCAAACGGCCCCACACACTTACTGGAATATCGGCACCTCATACAATTCTAGGAACATCAGACTGACCCAGAAGCTGCTGCTAAGGGCATCAGCACAAGCCATTCTCTTCAGGGCATCTACAGACCAACGGCCTGTCTCAGGAAGGTCATTTGCAAATCCCCTTTTCCATGGTAAATAAAACGAAGGAAGTTTATCAGAATCTGGTAAAAACTCAACACCTCAATAGCTGCAAACTAGCCAGCGCTGAGCAAGGGGCCAGCGTCCAGTTCAGACTCCCCTGCCCTGGGAGACAGATTGCAGCTGAACGGACATCTCTTCCTCGGTGGGCCTACATAGAAAAGGGTCGTGTGGCGGTTCCCTTAGTTCTGAGTCACAGCCTTACCCTGGCTGTACAGGTGAGGTACCT